CGCCCCGCCCCCTACCGGGCTCCATGGGCGCTGCGAGCGGCTTCACCCTTAGGCCCCCGCGTTTGCTGGTGCCTCCTCTTCTCGCACCCACACCCAAAAGGCTTGGACCTAGTGCGGTTCCAAAACCCCCGTAGTGCAGCTCAGCTGGGTGCTGTTTGGACTCCTACTCCGGGGTCCCGTTTATCGGAGTATGTGTCCCATGTGTCCCCCAATTTCCGTCGGAAGCGCTAGGCCTTGGAGCCTTTATTAGGGAAAGTACCAGTTGAGGCTAGGGAAACCTCGAAGAATGAAGAATGAGGCCGCAAGGCAGTGACAGCACTCTGGCTTCCACTGAGGGAGCGCGCGCCACATCCTGGAGACGGGCCGCCCACCGCCAGGGACCCTCTGGAGCATGGCAGCGATACATTCGAGAACCTTGGGGCCACCCAACTTGAATTTCTCTTGGTTTGTGCGAATCTTAATTGTTCAGCAAGTTAGAAACAAGTGCAAGAAAGCTGGTCAGCATCTCTTCCAAGTGACCACCAGGACCAGGGTTGGCGTCCTAAGCGGTTGCTGGTGCTGCAGCCCCCAGGGCGCGGGAGTGGGTCCTTGCCCCACCCCAGGCGAGCCCTGGCCTTTCTCCATCAGATACCCTGTCAGAAGCCAGCTGATTGCAGAGGAGGGTCTGGGTCCTTTATGATGGAGCCACTTTGATGAAGGAACTCAGCAGGTTGGAGAGAGGAAGAAAGGCCCAGCAGGCTGGTTTCCAGAGGGCCACGTGGAAATGGACTCTGCTCCCTGAGGTCTTCAGGTTCTCAGGTTCTTGGGACCAGAGTCAGCAACACCCCCAGTGCAGCACATGATGGCCCATTTGTGTGTGCGTTCATCGGACAAGTGTCCACGGAAGACCAGCTGCGTGGTCTGTACACAGACAGCGAGAGGACCCTGCCCTCGGTGGAGCAACCCCCCGGAGAGGGCCAATGGGTGCAGTCAACAGTGGGTGAGGACTTCACCCCTTGGCAGACTGGATGCTTGGCAGGCTCCATGGCATTTTGTCTGCTATCTGGGCCACCTCACGGTTTCCCCAGAACTGCAGGGAGCAGTGGGACAGGACCTATGCCCCTTAGGACTGAGGTGCCTGGTGGCCCTATCCCACTAGAGGGGAGGGGATGAAAGTGGCCGCAGAGGACAATTTGCATTGATATCGCTGCTCACTTTATGTTCTTTATGGCTCACCACAAAATAAATGTTTTCTAAGGAAAGACAGAGGGCATCTTTTTTAAAAAAATAAGTATTTTATTGATTTTTTACAGAGAGGAAGGGAGAGGGATAGAGAGTTAGAAACATCAATGAGAGAGAAACATCGATCAGCTGCCTCCTGCTAGCCCCCTACTGGGGATGTGCCAGCAACCAAGGTAATGCCCTTGACTGGAATCGAACCTGGGACCTTTCAGTCCGCAGGTCGACGCTCTATCCACTGAGCCAAACCAGTTAGGACAGAGGGCATTTTTTTTTTTAAGTATTAGGAAGACAGAAGTTTAGGATATCAATTCTGCATCCAACCCAGAATAATTTTTCCTTGCATTAAATAAAAATGCCACTTCACAGAAGGGGGTGGGGGAAGAGTTAAGTGAAATGGATACAGAACCTGGAAACCTGGCAGAGGGGAGGCTGTGGTGTGCGTGTGCAGCTGCCTGAGGCGTGGCTCGCCTGCCAGGGCACCGAAGGGACTGGCCGTGCTTCCCCTGGTGCACAATCGCCGGCCTGACCAAATATTTCCCAATCACCCCCTCCCTGGGTGGAGGTTTGTGGGTCAGTTTGTTTGAAAAGGCCTTTGAAGGGCACTAGTAGTCCCAAGTCTTTCTTGTCCTTCAAAAATGCCCTTGCGTTATCGGTCCCAGGTTTATCCAGTGAGAATTTGGAGGAATATTTTTACTTACTTCTAGCTGAAGAGTTTACCACCGCTTTTGTCCCCTGCTGGGAGCCCCGCCAACCTGTTCCAAGGAAAACAGGAAGAAGAACGAAGAAACCAGGGACCTGAACACATTCACCTGCTGTCTCCCATTTTGTGACTTCAGAGCTTTCCTCCTGCTCATCTATCCCCTCCCACCCACCTGCCCCAGGCCTGGCGCCGACTCTTTTGAAAGGTCTTAGGTGTCTGCAGACACCTGGCTGGCTGTTTGGAAACATTTTGTCATCGTTGAATAAAAACTGCAGCCAAAGGGCTGAAGCTAACTTCCCAGAAAGAGTCCCTGGACCCAGGTGCACTTGGCCCCTGCTCCCAGCCCTTCCTGAACAGCCCTGTGAGCCTGCTCTTGGAGAATGCAGGCAGGGCAGAGGCCCATGGTGCCAGCTCTCCCAGGGGGCTCCTCCTGGCAACACCATGAATTTGCTGCTAAGGGGTCTCTGCTTGAGTGGGGAAGGCCCCGAGGGGTGGGGGTGGGGGTCCTAGCTGCTTCTAGATGGATCCCAGCAGCATCAAGTGGGAACAAGATGGACTGCTCCCTCAGCAGAGTATGTTCCTATATACTAGTATTAGCACTTTGTTTTTCCAAGTAGAAAAGTCAGTAGAAAATGTTCGGCAGAAACGACAGAAATATGTAAAGATGAGAACAGAAAACACCGGTGATGCTGCTGACGGCTCAGAGTTTTTCACCCGGTCTTTGTCAGCACATGACTTCATCCTGCCTTCTCCGCAGCCGCATCAAGGACTTGCCGTGTCATTAAATGGTCATCAGAACCATGAGTGTTAGTCGCCCGCCTGGAAGTGGCTGTACCTTCCCCTGCTCACCCCTCCTGTCCTCCCCCCCATGCTGACATCTTGGTCACTCTGAGGGGCCTTTGCTCCCACATTCTCTGGAAGACTTGCTTGTCTGAGAGCAGCCAGGTCAAGACTGGATACCTGGTCCAGCCTGCCCAGGACCGCCCAGCCTGCCCAGGACCGCCCAGCCTGCCCAGGACCGCCCAGCCCGGGGATTCTGGAGGCCAAGAGGGGAATCTCATAATCCGAGGGGCTTCCAGATGCCACTAGAGACCTGCAGGCTCAGGCCACCGCAGCCAAGCACCTCGTCTCCGTTGCCAAGGTGACTCGGAGGCCTCTGATTGCCCAGGAGGACACGTGGCACCTGGCTCCGCATCCAGGTTTTTTGGTGCAGACTGCAAAGGCTCTCATTCTTCCTGACCTGGTTCCCGTGGTTTTGGGTATTGTTGCTGTGTTGTTTGGTAAAAAGAAAACACACATATTTACGTCATGAGGAGGCAAAGACGTCATCGGCATCAACTAATAAAAACGACCATAAACTAGTCCCCAGACCAAGCGCCCCATAATGATGCCTCACAGGCACATTGTGACAACTAATGAGCCATGCGAAGATAGAGGATGTGGGACAACACGAGACAAAGTCCATTGGCACCAGCACACGCTCGTCATGCTGCATCTCCACCGGGATCCCTGCCAAGCCAGGTGAACAAAAGTTTGGTGAAGGGAGAAAACTGCTTAGAACAAGGGGAGAGGTTGGTTTGTTTGTTTTTTAAAAAAAATGCTTTTATTGATTTCAGAGAGAGGAAGGGAGAGGGAGAGAGAGATAGAAACATCGATGAGAGAGAAACATCGGTCAGCTGCCTCCTGCACATCTCCTACTGAGGATCAAGCCTGCAACTCAGGCATGTGCCTGGACTGGTAATCCAACCGTGACCTTCTGGTTCATAGGTCGACGCTCAACCACTCAGCCACATCAGGTGAGAGTTTTAAGGTGGGCAGACCCTCTCAAGACCAGCTGTACCAGGAAGAAGGTCTAACCAGCCCTGCCTCAAGGCCAAGAAGCTCTGGGTCACCCCAGGACCTGGAAGGAAATCTCTAGAATCTTCTTCTCTCAAATAAACCACAGACACAAAATCAGCAGGTCAGGTTCAGGACCTGGACCACCAGGACTGGAGCCACAGAACTCGCAGATCCCCACACCAGCTGGGTGGCTTCAGCTTTCTCAGAACCGGTGCACAGGTGGACAGAGGCTGGGGTGGGCCACCTTTCGTCCCCTCGGCGCTGTCCCACAGCAGACATGAGGTGCTGTAGGATGATGTGATGTGACTTGCTCCATGCAGAATCCAGAAGAAGCTTAAGCACCTAAGCAAAGAGGAAGCACGGAGGTGTGGGGGACCCGGCCCGCTTCGGGGCCAGTTCCATAGGGACAGAGGGAATCGGGCTCTCTCAGGAAGTCCACCCTCCGTCCAGGCCTGCAAATACCGCACAGGGTCCTGGCTGACTAAGGGACACTGGTTGAAAGATCTGTCTCCCTCACTGCCCGCGCCTGGCAGCCTGGAGCTGGCTCCCAGGACCTGGACGGTCAGAGCAGTGGCGGAAGCTGGGCTTTGTGGCTTCGAGAAGCTCACAGCCCAGTCTCCGTCCCCACTGTCAGCTCTCTGTTCCTGGGAGCCCCACCCACAGCCTCATCTCCATCACCTTTAAGAAGCCAGACCCCCCAAGCCACGATGAGATATCACTTCACATCCATTAAGATGGCTATTACTTTATCTTTTACAAAACCTGAAAATAACAAGTGTTGGCGAGGATGTGGAGAAATTGGAACCCTCATGCACTGTTGGTGGGAATGTAAAATGGTGGGGCCATTGTGGAAAATGGGGGGGGGGTCCTCAAAAAATTAAACATAGACTCACATATGATCCAGCAATCCCACTTCTGGACATAGACCCAAAGGAAGTGAAAACAGGAACTTGAACCCATATTCCCGTGTTCATGGAGGTGTTATTCACAACAGCCAAAGGGTAGAAACAGCCCGTGTCCATTCACAGAGGAAGACGAGGCCCAGCGCAGCTCCCGGTCGGGTTTGACTCACAGCCTTTTGCTTCTATTTTAAATTACACCTGTGACGCATGATCACGTTCTCCTGCAGAAATCAAACAGCACAGACAGACCCAAAGCCCTCCCCTCCTCCCCAGGTAACAGCTCTCTTCTTTCAGAGAGCTGGCACTTGCACACACCTTAGGGTGGAGAGAAGCGTGGGTGGTGTGGGTGCCTGTGTGTGTGCATGTGGCATATGTGTGGGTGCCTGTGTGTGTGCATGTGGCATACGCGTGGGTGCCTGTGTGTGTGTGGCATATGTGTGTGGGTGCATGTGGCATATGTGTGTGGGTGCCTGTGTGTGTGCATGTGGCACATGTGTGTGGGTGCCTGTGTGTGCATGGCATATGTGTGTGCTGTTAGCATGTCTCTGGAACATGCATGTGTGGGTGTCAGGGGATGCATGTGCACATGTGCCTGGCTCTGGCTGTGTCAGTCTGCGCTCCCACTTTGGGACTTTGTAGAACCAGGTCTCCTAGGGTGTCTGCCCCAGTGATAAAAATGAAAATGAATGTTCTTGGGGTTACTAGGCCTTGAACACCCCTGGGCTGGGCCC